CTCTTGTGGCGGCTGACTCTTGCTTCAACAGGGTATTCAAGCCTCCCTTCTCTAACAAGATTGAACTCTTCACCGGTTGTTCATTGTGCAAACTTACTCGATGTTAATCAGTTGTTTTGTATGCAGAATAATGTTTATTATGAGAATGATAATTCTAATGCAACACATATGTAAGTCTTAAAGTTTGAAAAAACTTTGAATGAAATGACGTCACAACTCTGTTGTGAACGAGTCACTATCTAGAGAGAAACATTTGCAAATTCCTTTTTTATGAAAGATAATGCAAGCATATGATGCCACCACAGATATTCAAACGTACCTCTTAGGAGTCAGTTAAACGCTATCTCGTTGTAGCACGCTTTCGAATTGACCCATGATTCAGTTAGGGCTTTAAAAGGGTTGTAACGTGGTCTGGTTCACGGTTTTAGAAAAAAGGATTTAAGGCTCAAAATTATTTGGTGCCCACCCATTCTCCATGATGTTCTCCATTCCTACGTTCAGTTAACCTGATATAAGCATTCATCTCTCAAGAAGAGTTTGCAATGTTTGAGGAATCATTGTGGTTTCTTGGACACGACAGTCACTTCACCTTTTTCTTTTGGTGTCTGATCACACGACTTTGTTCTTTGATGAGGATTTTCATTGGTAATCCTTTTCTCTCCTTTTAGGCTTTTCGATTTATTTCTTGCTTTCCCTAATTTTTGCCTGGACAAATTCTTTTGAATTTCGATTTGGAAGTCCAGCGGGATGCCCCAATTTTTGCCCAAGTGACTTGTTTTCAAGTTTCGACTTAGCGGGGATTTTTGTTTCTTTCTTATTCGTATTTTCCATTTTGAACAAGTCGTTGATCTTTGCGTTGTCTTTGATTTGTTGGAAGTGATCGTGACTGCCTGAGTCTTTGATAGACAAGGGATAGTCATTATTGTATTGTCATCTGTCGACCTCCTGATGTGCGAGAGATATCCATTGGGATATTGTCAATAGACGCACATTGTTGTTAGATGAGGATTAACCATTGTGGTTTTGACTTTTCTCAATCTTTTGATGGATAACCATTGTCGTGTCCTTGGATGCACACTCTTGATGAGTTCTGAATGCTTGAACAAATTAGCTGAACACTACCCGCCCCAAGGTTAAAATGAGGGTTTTTTCTGAATAGAAAGAAAACTCCTACTTCGAAAGCTCAAAGGGGTTGACGAGGGTCTATCTTCCTTATATCTACAGTGTTTGGGGATTGAAACAAGGCCTGTACATCGTCAGCAGGGTCCTACTCAAAAGCATACCAACCAGAGATTTTTGCATTTTCAGATTGTCGTCATCCTCCTTCCAATCTTTACCTAAGCATAAGACCAGGAAATCTGGCATCAATATGCAAGTAAAACATTTAAAGAGTGATAACAAATGGATGAGTAAAAATGAAAGGAACACTTCAAGACAAGCATACCTATTGCATTAAGATTTTCATTCAAAAATAGACAAGTTTCTATATACAAGCAATGTTTAAACAAACAAGCAAGAATGCAAATGAAAATGCAGTAAAGAAACCAATGATTGCCATTGTTGAGGAGACTTGACTCCGTATGGACTTGTTGATTCTGACGACTTTATGTAGTCTTGAAGCTCGAGTGTGCGAGAGAATCCCCTTTCACATCTGATGTGATCATGACAGTCGCTGAATTGATTCAGTCTTGGACTTGGTCTCTGGATGACATACCATCTGGCTTGTCTGAGTATTTAACCCATTATCTTCTTGCCTGAAGAAGTTTCTGACTATGAGCCAAAGCTTGCATGTACCACTCAGAGTTATTCCATAGCTGATCTCTGAGCATGTGAGGTGAGAAATCAGGTTGAACCTTTGAAGAGAACCCCAGGTCTGAATAAGAATCCCAATCTTCGGGTACCTGTCATGAGTGCATGAATATGCATGGAGTGTATGAATGAATGCCATGTCATGTTTTGTCATTTCCAAGGAATTTGCGTGCTTTGATTTTGTTTTTGCGCAAGTAAGGGATGGAAGAATTTTGGTACAAGACTTGCAAATATGATTCCTTGAAAATAACAGAACATGTATGTTAAGCATGCAGTTAGCCATGTTATGTATGCAAAGGTATGAGATCAAAGAGGATCAGGGTTCCATCATTCCTGAATAAGGTTGCTGCACTGCTCTGGATTATGTGAGTATCATCAGATCAGAGGTCTGACATAACTTCTGCATATATAAGAACCAAGTACCCTGTGGATCTCCCATTGTACGAGGTCAAGGCTTCTGGAACATCGGATACTGTTGAGCATTTTCTGAATAATGATGGGAATACCGAGATTGAAGGCTTGAATGAACCTCCAGGTAAACAGGTCAGGAACTCAGAAAATAAATCTGAGAACCATACGGTCACCAACAGGATATAGCATCTGCATAAAGTCATGACAGAAATCCAGAACATAGCCATAAGAACCAGTAGTCATTGTCTGAGCATAATCACCATCCGAATATGGGTAACCATCTGAATATGAGTCACCATTTGTACCTGTGATAGAAGTTCCCTCACCACTCACAGGTGAAACTAGGTCAGGGTAAGATAATGGTAACTCGAAAATCACGGGTCCGCCTGAAAGTGCTATGGGCTTACCCACAGACGTGGGTGCCGATAGTAATTCATTTGAACCTCATCCGAGCGTGGTATGTGACATGACTGCACTAATCGGACCACGTCCTATAGCCGTCATGCCCCCACTCTATTCCTAGTGTCCTAGTGCACTCTGGCCTGGGTACTGGGCCTTTTACCTCAGTAGTGACATCCCAACCCAACATAGAGAACAGAGTTCAGCATAATAGATAACAGATATGGAAAGCCATAAAATGCAATGCAAACATGTATAAATGACTAAACTGAAAGCATAAAAATAAACACCCTAAGGAAAGAAAACAAGAGCTAGGAGCGACTCCGGGATGGACCAGCATTTGGTCGACCTAGTCCCCAGTGAAGTCGCCAGCTGAAACAACCGGCTGAAAATCATCAAAACAATAAATTCGCCATCGAATGTCTTTTATCCCACATGTAGGGAAAGGTAAACATCGAGAAAACCTGATGAGGGAGAAGTCACGGTCTTGCGACCGAGAGATCGGGTAAGGGAGTCTGTTACGCGAGGGGAAGGTATTAGCACCCCACACGCCCGTAGTACTCTATGGTATCCACTCTTGTTATCTATATTATGGGTGTGTTTAATCTATGCTTACTGTTTACTATACTGCTAAAGGGAAATGCATGCAAAAGAAGGAGAAAAAGAATGTAGGGAAAATAAAATTGTGCTTGCTTGGGCCCTACCCCAATGCCTACGTATCCGTTTTGAGGAATCAGAGCTACCGTAGTTCGGCTCTAATGTTTTGTTTGTTTTGCGTCTTTTTATGGACAAAGTTAATTTCGCCTTCTGCCGCAGCTCGACCTTCGGAGACTTATGCGTTGGCACAGAAGTAAATTAATTGTGTCCTTACCTGAAAAGGGTTTAAAAGAAAGAGGTGCTCGAGCGCACAAAATATTTGAGTTGGTTTATATTTTGTTATAGATGTTTTTTGTGGACGAAGTTAATTCCGCCTTCTGCCGCAGCTCGACCTTTGGAGACTTATGCGTTGGCACAGAAGTAAATTAATCGTGTCCTTACCTGAAAGGGTTTTTTTTTAAAGGTGCTCGAGCGCACAAAAGATTTGAGTTTGTTTTGTATTTTTGTTGCAGATAATGACTAGTCGACCTCAAGAGAGAGATATTAGCTATTTTTCTACTTAGTCATGAAAGGAGTCTTTGAGAATTGAACCGCACCTATGCTTGAGATGAAGAACGATAAGATCGAGAAGAGACCCACTTATCATTTCCCGTACTAAGCAAAAGCATGATTCGAATCAATAGTTTTAAAGTGTTTTGAATTTTGAAAGAAAAGAAGTTTTAGTTTTAGGTGTGTATGCGAAAGGGAAAGAAAAGTTAAAAGGGAATTAGCCTATTTCTAAACCTGATGTTATTATTCGTTAGTAGCCATAAGATTTAGGTTAAAGGGGAAATTTCTACCTGATGTTAGTATGCATATGGATTTGCGATAAAGTACGGAAATGAAGAATAAAATAGATTTGTGACGATACCGAACGGAGAAGGTCCGTTGCCTCTTCAAAATTGTGCAAGCGGTAAGAAAACTCTACCGAAGCTTTGCACAAACTAATCCTCAAGAATTTCGTATCCTGAGTTGCATCAACATTCTACCACAAAACTTGCAAATCCCGTGAACATTCAATGACACATAAAGCCTATTCCTATCAAGTTTATGATACTTTTTATAAGTTTAAACAAAAGCAAACAATTAATCAAGAACCTAATATTCAGAACCATCCATTAAACCCCTCATCATGCCAAAGAAATTGAATCATGGATAAGGAATTGACAAGAGCACCTAAAAAAAATAATTCTAACCATTTTCAACATTAATTCAATTAATCCTAAAACTTATAGAAAAAATCAAGAAAAAATATCATCTAATCAGAAATAAACATGTTAATGTTCATAAAAAATTTCAACAAAAGAATCATGCAATAAACTCACAGAATTAATTGTGAAATTTGAAGAACAGAGTAAAGAAAAATAGAGAAAGTTGGGAGGTGTTCTGGATTAAACAACGGTGTGAATAAAGGTCCAAAGATCATGAGCCCAAACCAATAGCCCTCAGATTTTTTTAATTCATTTACTATTACTAGCATTATTATTAATTTAAAATAAAAATATAAAGTAACAAAACAGTTAAACTAAATGAAAAAAAAGAAAAAGGCATATGAAATTAGAAAGGGAATTTAGGGTTAGAATGAAAATGTCTCTTCCTCTCCTTCACGAACGCGGAGCCGCCGGTCTCTCACCCTCCGATTTCCATCGTCTCAACCTCTTCCGATCCGGTTGCGACTTCTTTCTTCACACCCTCACCGCCTTCGCTTCCCCGTCTTCTCCGTTCAAACAGATCCGCCGTGAATCATGCCGCCACTGTACTCTCTTTGTTCTCCGGAAACTGTAACTGCATTGGATCCCACAACGACAGGGATGTTTCGGAGGGGGAACACGGAATCCACGAGCACATGCAGCCTTCATTTGCGAAAGCATGTCGTCGTCTCCGACAGCGGATGCGGCGGAGGTGAGGATCTGTCTTGATGTTTAGGTACTCTCTTTCACCTTCGTCTTCTTCTGTTTCTTTATTCTGAATAGGTTTCATGCCCTGTATCTTGTGGTTCCTGCTTTACGTACGAGTTTATCGAGTGTTTTATATTGTTGCTTGCAAAGGTGAGATTGACGAAGATGAGGCTTGGGGGTTGATGATGACACGAAGATGCAACAGTGTTCACGTCTTGCTGATGAAGATTGAAGCGCAGAAAATGATGATTATAAAGAAGATAGATGATTGATACTATTGTGATGCCGAGAAAAATGAGAGTGCCGAGAGGTGAAGACTGAAGATTTTTCTGGTGAGTTCTCTTCCAGTTCTTCTCTGAGATTTTCTATGAATAATCGTATCCTGTGAATAATTTCTCCCTGCTCCCAATATGTTACCTTTTTGTTTGTTGAATCCTCTATATTTTATTCTGTCAATCTGTTATGTATATATGTTGAAAGTTTGTTAGTTAGGAGGTAGTTGGTTTGGATCTGTTATTCTGTTATGCAGTGTTAGAGATTCTGTTAGGTGGTTAGAATTTGGTTAGGGGTTGTTAGGAATTGGTTACTGAATATGGTTGGGGTAATGCTGTTAGAAGTGGTTAGAAGGTTTGAGAGGTTATTGGGAAAAATGGAAAGTTGGTATAGTTAGTTAGGGGTTTGTTTGGACTGTTAAGTTGGTTTGTTAAGTTAGTTGAAGAAGTTAGAAAAAATATGTTAGGAAAGTTAATGAAGTGAATTACCGAAATGGATTTCTCTTAGTATCAGTTATTTTTCGGTTATGAAAATAAATTGAAGGGGGAGTGAGGTTAGCAAGCAGATGTGATGTCATGGTATTCTTGAAACAGCAGGGTGACTTGATGTGTGCATGAACATGTTAGTTTTATGCTATATTTTTAGATTTTATGATCATGATAATGAATGTGTGTGGTGCAGGTTCAGTGGTGCAGATTGGCATGGTGAATGAAAAGGTATATTGAAGATGGTTTTAACAGCAAGTTTGGTCATAGATGATGCGAATAAAACATGGTGAAGAAATTCAAGACATAAGGGCATCAAGCATGGAGATTACTTTGAGGTGTTATGGAAGCTTGAAGTTTGGAACACGAAGAATGATTGAAAATTAGGATAGGTTTTGGTAAAAATGTATAGATGTTATGTATAATTGTAATGGAATTTGGACTTGTATGTATTTGAATACACATTGGAATGTATGTTGACTTTATTTCCTCATAATGAAATGGCCTTTGTATGAATTCAAATAAATGGTATGAATCCAAAATATTTGCAAGGTAACCAAAAGAGACATGAATCTTGAATGAATCAAAGAGAGGCTATTTGGACAATATTTTGATGGTTGGATGAATTTGATGCATGCTTTTTCATACTTGTGGTTTGAATTCCAAGAAAAGCCACGCAAATATTTAAGAACCTTGATTTTCTCCAAATCCACTTCGAATATTAATGAATGAATTCTAATCAAACTACAACTTCAGTGAATCCCTAATTCAATTCAATTTTCCGATCTAAACCAAATTTGTGTGTCAAGCAAATAAGCATTTGAGATAATGACACCTTGATCACAATCAACATCTTGTACCATGTCCCGACTATATGAGCACTAGAACAACATCGTCTTGGACCCCTTCTCAATAGATGATAATGACTATGCCCTGAGGGATTCTTTGCAGATGAATATGAAAGATGCGAATACCTTGATATGGAATGAACCTCAGGTAGAACGCTGACAAGCTCAAGTATGAAAATGTATAAACCCTGATTTTTAGCTTCGTCTCATAAAACCTTGCAACTTGACATTGAGAAGAAAAGAATAGCCTCTTAGCTTGATGATGATAAGGTCCATGAAATGAAAACCTAGCTTCAAACAAATTATTAATGGAGAAATCAACTGAAACAAGCTTGTGCGAAGATGGGAGCCTTAAAGCCATACACCAACCCTTATTCCTCAAAATCCATGATCTTATGCCAATTTAATGATTAATGATGCATGATGTGTTAGATGACCTAATGAAAATTATATATGTGAGAAAAATGCAAAAATGCGTAAGCCAGATAAAAGTAGAAGGGTAGGACAAATTTGGGGTATTACAGTCGAGAGACAAGATTCGGTTGATAATCAATCAAACTAAGTTTATTTTTCAAACTCTTGAATCTCAGTGGAATGATTCTTGGGCGAAGAAATGACTCTCAGGTGGCCACATATTCATCCACATGGTCATCTTCATCAGGTGAGGGATATGGTTAAATAAACCACTTCGGACCAACCTTTCTACTAGCGAAGGGAGCCATGGTTGAAACAAATTCCTTACGCTTTTCAAACATTATTACAAACGTATAAATGATTTTTGGAATTGTTGACCTTCGTCAGTTGGAGTCAACAGGACTAATCGAGTCCCTTCGACCCTTCTGTTTAGGACTTCTGGGGCCCTCTCATTAATGTTATTCTTCTGAGGAAGAAAAGATTCAAAAGTGGCGTTGAGCCAAAGTTGAAGAAGCCAAAAGGGGTCGGAAAAGAGTAAACTCACCTTGTCTCCAATAACCTTAAGTTGAGTCACACCATTGCTGATGGACTCATACAGGTTGGATAGAATCAACTCAGCCAGACAAAGGGGATAACCATGATGAATCTGCATCGTGAGAGTAAGCATCTTCTTAGTCACTTGAAGTGACTTAGTGCAGAAAGTGAAGCGAGATAACCACAAAGCTAGTAAAGCTACGTGTTCCACTTCAGAGATAATGTTACTCGATTTGTCATGGAAATGGTTGATGAATATAGTATACGTGGGTTTCGTGGCCGAAAACCCGATAGAATCTTCAGACAGATCCTCAGGGTTGAAATAGTCACCAGTTGGCCGAAGACCAGTAATGGCGGCTATATCGAAAAGAGTTGGGGTTACCACTCCACAAGGCAAATGGAAGGTGAAATGCGTACTGTCCCAGAAATACAGTGAAGATACCAACATGAGAGGGCAATAAGATAACCCACTCTTCGACAGGATTATCAAGTCATAGATCCCCATATCCTTCCAGATTTAGACTTGCACTTTTTCCATCTTACTCAGCCATTCTGAGTATTCTGAAGTAAGACTAGGGCAAGATCGAAAGATCCTATTCCCCTTGTTCATGAACTGAAGGTTGATGTCCTCCTTCGTTTGATAATGTTGCTGGTTAGCAGGGGTTGCGTCCTCAGGATTATTCCTGGATTTCTTTATGCAACCTATAGGCTTGAGCCTATGGTGAGTTGGGAAGAAGGTGTTATTTTGTTTTGGGATCTCGAAGCATGTAAATAGTGGGCCAAACATGGCATACATGTGTCCATAATACTTAACGGGAATGAGTAACTAAGAGTCATAAGCTTCACACCATTCTTTGTCCATGGGTTCAGATACGACCCTTCGTTCCCCAGTTGAAACAGGTACAAGGCTAGTGGGAAAAACCTCTGGTTGTCTTTGTAGGTCAGAAACGTTCTTATTTTTGGGGTTGTTTGGTGCATTTGAAAGGAAAGCCATGGTTGAAGGAAGTGAAAGAACGAAGAAGATGAAGGTCTTAAGACTTTTATTTTCAAGGAAATAAAGAGTACTAGGTGTTGGAAAAGAATTCCAAAGAAAGGATTTGTGGCTATTTATAGTATTCAGGGAGTGTTTTCCCTCAAGACCATTTAATGTTGCAGAGTTAGTGGGGCATGTGGCAAACATTGAAGCAATTATCGTACAGGTAATGGAAACGTTTTCCATACTTTCCTAGGTTGTAGGGATAATGGCCATCATGGCAGCATGGTAACGGTTGATTGACAACGACGTGTTGGGAAAAAAGGTAATGATGACTCTGAATACCAGTGGTTGGTAGAAGGCGAAAAGCGCACAAGTGTTTTTTGTGGTAAAAAAGAAGACATGTGTCGAATGGGAATCTTAAAGAATGATAATTTCTTCTTGTGTCTAAATTGACATTCTTTGGGGGTAGTTTGTTAGCTCCTAAATTCGACACCCACAACAAATTGGCCTTATGGGCCAAAAATAGATTTAACAAATCTAAGCTGGAAATACTTTGACAGATTGGAAAAATACTTAGAGAAATTTCTAAGTTAAAATGAATCTCCGACTAGAAGGTTATTACATCCTTCGACTGAAAGGGTTCTAGGGCCTTGGACTAGAAGGAAACCTCGTATCAGCAACAGGTGATTTTGAATCTGAAGAAAGGAGGGAAAAGAAGTTCGCTTAGCAGTTGAGGAAAGTAACGTGGCATGAAGGTAGAGGTCGAAGCACATGCAGAAGACACTTGTCTTCATCCTAGAGCAAAGTAACTCCTCAACGATTACCTAATTTTAGTATAAATATAGGAAGTTTATGTAGATTTCCAGGTGTTCAACTAACCGTACAAGTCATTCAATACTATTCAAGTACCCGATGCGTGAGAAAGAATACTGAAAATGTATGTTTGAAACACCACATTTTATAATCAAAGTATTTTACATTTATCTTTACATTTCTTGCCTTTTTACCTTACTTGCAAACATCTATTTTCCCTTTCACTTTACTTGCACCTTTTATCAGATTCCCGCATTTGAACTTTTCCCAAACCCTTTTTCTATTTACTTTCTGCACTCAAACTCATCTCAAACCTCAACCTTTCTCATTCGAACGTGTGTTCTTTATTTACATTAGCATTTATGTCCAAACAACGTCAAAAATTAGTATATGTCTTAGGATCAAACTGATCGATCCTGCGAGTAACCAAAAATTTACCCTTTTTGGAAGATCAGCGGTTCTTTACCGAAAAACACGGTGAACAACTTCCTAGGTATATTTTCTAAGAACTATCATGGAAGGATCCGAAGACATGATACTGACATTATTTGATACTACTGGCACAAACAAACAATTTGGGGGTACCGAAGCTATTTTGATCAAATCTCAGTATTTTCTAAGAATTGTCATGGAAGGATCCGAAGACATGATACTAAAATCATCTGATGCTACTGGTACAAACAAGCAATTTGGTGGTACCTAGATTTTGCTAAAGCCCAAGATTAACATAATATTTCCCAAAGTGATTTGGACGCAGATCTTCCCCTGGCTATTCAACACTTCTTGAGAGATTATTTGAATCTCGAATTAACTGCCCCAGATAGTCATGTCATGCCCCTTGATTATGAGAGATTTTTCATTGGAGGCGTCTTTCCCTTTGAAGCGATTTTGTTTATTGAGAGAGTTTTCTTTCATTGGATATTCGTCGT